AGGACCGAAGATCACGTATTTTTATCGAAATTCCCCGCTAGCACGGTAGCGTCGGAAAGCAACCTAGAGTATGCCCTTGCTAAAATAAGCCGGTGCCTTTTTGTTTAGGTGAGGTCAGGGTACCGCTGCCCACACACCAGTGGTGGCGTTCAAATGGGCGCAACTTGCCGCGACCAAACCAACAGCCGAGCCACGCCGAAGCGCCGCTAAGCCCTTCTTATAGTTCCTATTCTAAAACTTTATCTCATATCACATCGAATGTTTAGACACATATATGGAGTATTAAATATAGACTAAAAAATAACTAATTATACAGTTTACGACAAATTTTCGAGACGAATCTTTTAAACCTAATTAGTCCATAATTTGACAATAAAGTGCTACAGTACATACATGTGCTAATGATGGATTAATTAGTCTTAATAAATTCGTCTAATGATTTACTGACGGAATTTATAATTTATTTTTTTATTAGTACAAACACCGATGGGACACCATATAAACATCCATATGACATTCAAAATTTTATACGGCCTGTTCGCTGATTGGTTTGTGGGTTAGTTTGAGTTGGTTGATACTGGTTTATTGTGAGAAAAAAATACTATTGATTGGTTAGTTTAGACTGGCTGAAATCAACTAGCGAAGCCTAAATTATTGGCGGTTTGAATCTGACACTGACAGCGTCAAATCGCCGACCCCAGATTTTTTCCCTCTCTCCCTCCCCCTTCCATTCTCTCTCTGTGGCCAACATCGTACGAGATCGATATCCCCAAGATTCTGCTCCCCGCCTCGCGGATTTGCTGGATCACCTGCGGACGCCGAGCCTGTAGCCCCCTTGCGCTGCGCTGCCCCGTGGCGTATGCCTGTGATCTCTCTGAGCACGCACTGTGCAGCAGCTGCACACGTACTACTAGAGTGGGCACACATGATACAGCAATCATTGGTGGTTGCGGCCCCGATGGGCAGTCAGCAAATGGTGGCTGCATAACGTCAAGAACCCAAGATGGCTATGAGCATTTGGTGAGCTTAAGCTTATCCGGGGTTCATGAGATGGGGACTTCCTTGGGTGTTTCCTTCACATGCGTAGCTCTTATCTAGATCTTTTGATGCGGGTATCTAAGTATGTCGACAACAACACCAATATGCCATTATGTGATTGGGATTTGGATGAGGACATCAGAAATTTCGATGAAGCTTATCGTTTCACTAATCTCTGTCTATGTGCACCGTGACCTATACGAGGTACGAGCTCGGTTCGCTAATGCTTTGCTGGGATATGTATCCAAGTGCGTTTTACTCCCTCAATTATAAATTATAAGATATTTTCAACTTATTCTATATACATTGCTTTTATTATATAACTAGATATAGTTTATAGCAAAAACTATATATCTAGAAAACCCAAAATATCTTGTAACTAAAAAAGAGGAGTGTTCAATATTTGTCATCTTAACTATCGACCTTACGGGGACACCTTCAAAATCTAGTACACCTTTTTAAAATATTTATATCATTTTATCTTTATGCTAAAATTAAACTTTTCAGTTTTTTTATCAAGTATAGGGAAAAATGCATCAATTTTTTTTTGTTTTGTAGATGTTATATATTTCAAAAAATCTGATCAATATTTTTCAAGAAAACTTGATTTTAGAACAAAACATAAAATTTGTAGCGAAGGGTATCTAATAAAAACTTTATATTGTTGAGGTAGGCACAATTTGCAAGACAAGTTTTTTTACTGCTGAATTATCCCCTAACCTCATTGAATTCGAGTAACATAGCCCTCGGTCTCTAACCTCGCCATAAAATCACTAGTGTTTGAAAAAAAAGCATTGCGTTAGATGCTAAAATCTTGTCTTGGACATAAGAAACAATATTTCCACACAAGTACCCACTTGGTCCTAGTAATAATGCAATTCTATAGCATGGTGCTGAATCAAATAATATTTAGTTCGACCAAATTTATATAAAAATATAGTAATATTTATCATATCAAGTAATTATCAATAGATTTTTGTAGAACATATTTGCATATCATCTTTTATTTGAAGTTATAGATATTTGTATTATGACCTTTAAATTTAGTCAAATTCTAGATAGTTTGACGAAGACTAAATTTAGAATTGCAATCTTTTAGACCTTGTTTGAATTTGCATGTATTTATCTCAATCCACATGTGTGGAAGTGGATTGGAGTGGATTTAAATTAAGTTTCATTTTAATTCATTACAAAATATGTAGATTGAAGTGGACCTTAGTATGGATGAAGGTAGTACAGTACTAGAAACTGATATTTCTATAGCTCCGTCGTCTCTGGGTGATGATAATGGACGAGGACCTTCACAACCCGTCACACTCACACGACCACTGCTGCAATCAGCCGCTCAAACAAAGCATTTGTCACGCCTGCAGGCGATCCGCGACTCCACGGCACTGGGCCCACAAGCATACACTACGCGCCGTCCACTTGTTCCGCGGGTCCCACACTCGGGGGACAGCCGGGCTCCATAGCTGCCGTCCGTTCTGACCCCCGGTGCCGCAGCCCGACACCTGGACACGGCGCGCCAGTACGTCGCTGTCACCACCACCCGGAGTGACGTGTCTCCCTCCAACCGCAGGCGTTGCGGTAGCACCGCCCACCGACTTGCGGGGCCAGCACGCCGCGGGCCCGCGTGTCATGCAACGCGAACGAGGCGCCTAGACGTGGCCTCCATCTCCAGCAGCCCTGCGCGCCAACTCCCAGCCGCACCGTCCCACATTCCCACCCACCGATTTGCGGGCCCGGGGATGCCGCGGACCCGCCTGTCATCCAAAACGAACGAGCCAGCAGCCCCGCACGGCACACCAACCAGCCGCACCACCGGGCTGCCCACCCCGTGCCCGATGACCCGCTGGTCCCGTGCCGTCCGCGCCTCCACGCGTCATCCGAGCCCGGGAGTGGCTGCGGCGTCGCGCGCGAGGGCCCGCCTGGCGACCCGGCAAGTTGGCCTCGGGGGCAGTGAGCTGTCGTGGGGCTCACACACGAGGCGTGCCGCGGCGCGGCACGTGGCGAGCGATGCGGCGGCCTGTGCACACACGTACCCCCCCGGTCCCCGCAAGGGGCCTGCTGCGGCTTTAAAAGCGGATGCCTGAGACGTGTCGCTGTTGCGTAGGCCCCCGCGCGACACCTGTGGACCCCGGAGGTGCGGCAAGTTGCAGCTGTTTCGTTGGGTGCCAGTTGCAGCCTTGCCGGCTAGGCCTTGTAGCCTGCCTGCCCCTACATGGTCCCGGAGAGCCGTCTCTGGGGTGGCCCGCGCTGAGCGAGCTGACCAAAGCCAAGCCGAGGGGGTCGATGCAGTAAACGGCTCTGGCCGATTTTCATTTACCTCATTTTCTACTACAAATATAGGAGTATTTGTTGGGCGCTGTTTTTTAACAAGCGGAATAATGGTCATAATGACGGATTCTTATTATTACTATTTGCAACAATGCGTTTAGCGCTTGGCACTATACGAATCCACAACGAATATTTACATATAAATGTTATAGATAAAGACAACAATGGTGTAAGAGTATTTTCTAGAGTCGTGCTTGTAATGCAGACACCCATGCGTTGACGGATCTGGGGTATGTGTGTGTTGAAGGGGAAGAGATAATTAGCAACTCTGCTCCCATGACTGTTAATGTAATTGTGTTTGCTGATTCCTCAGCTAACAAGTAATGAAAGTCCCAGAGTAAAAAAATGTATAACTATGAGCGATGATTCTCGTAATTCTTGTGTATTAGTATGTTAATGTTGTATGGATATAAAAATGTGAGAAAATAAAACTAAGATTATGGTAATAATAATTCTAGTTCTTCTTAGGCCCCGTTCGCTTCGCTGAAAAAACAAACCGAAACACTGTTCTAACTGAAAAAATAAAACTGAAAACTACGGATGATAAGAGAAGCGAACAGGGCCTTATTCGACGATTGTTGGCACCTACCGTTGTCCCTCTATCCTATCCTTAATGGTTAGGACTGGGGAAGCCCGTAGTCGTGAATGACTGCATGGAAGTGTCGATTCTTAGAACAAGAATAGTTCTCAATCACTAAAAAATCAACGACAAAGAAACAACAACAATTTTACCGTTGTTTGGTCTAAAAAGCTCTAGCAATACCTGATTTTGGCAAAAAAAAAAGAGAAAACAAATTTCCTCACAAGTCAGGTTTAATCTGCCTTAATTTTCAAATATAATTCGGCTGATGGTTTTTACGGTTGATAAATCGGTTATACTATTTTATTATAAGAGAAAACACTTCTTCCACAACTGATAAGTTCAAGTCAACATGGTCTTCTTCATTTGGCTCGCATTTTTTTTCCACATCCAGTAGTATTGAAAATTTTCTTTTATTTCCTCATTCAGCACTCAGCGCAGCAGGCCGAAGCCGAGCCGCGCAGCCCCTGGCCTCGGCTCGGCTCGTCGCGGAACCAACACGTGTCCCCATTGTCCGACACGTGGCGGGCTGCCGTGCGCTCGTAGTCCCATCCGACTAGTTCCCCGCTACAAAACCGATTTTCAGCTCCCATTTACGCCGGAAAAAAATCTGCGAAAGTCCTCCTTTTTTTTAGCGGGGGGCGCAAGAGCAAGCTGCAAGAAGATATCCTAGTCCTGTTCTGCTCTCTCCTTCTCCTAGTCCTCGAATTCGGCTTCCTCTGCTGCGGTGTTCTGCTCTTGGTCTCGGTTTCAGACGTGAGATTTGGAGCAGAGGACACCGAATTCTTGGTCGCTGCAATGCTATGGCGCTTGGGGCATGTAGAGCCTGAATTCTGTTGATGACGGGGGAGTTCGCGTCGTTAGGAGATTTTTTCTTTCTTTCCCTTTTTCTTAGCTGATGAGAAATCTGGTGCTGTTTGGTGCTCGCCGAGCCGAAGAACGTGTAATCGTTCGTTGGTGTGTTCTCTGTAGCTGAATTTTTGGTCATCGAGAAGCATTCTTCCTCGGGGAATCCGTGGGAAGAAGCGTTGTCCGGCGCAGACCCATGGCTTCTAGGGATTTCCTGGGAAGGTTTGGACGGGATGGAGGGCCAGCGCCTGCTGTTGGCGCCGCCGCAGGGGCCGGCGGGGAGTCGGACGAGATCGAGCTCAGCCTCGGCCTGTCCCTCGGAGGCTGCTTCGGCGCCGACCCATCGCAGGAGGGGAAGAAGCCGCGGCTCCATCGCTCGTCCTCCATCGCCTCGATCTGCTCCTTGCCAGCTGCCACCAGCTGCGGGGCGCAGGCGCAGGACGCCGCCGCCGCTACCGTGCCTCCGCCGGACCAGCTGCTCCGCACCTCCTCTCTCCCCGCCGAGTACATGGAGGACCGGCTCCGCCGCCGGGCGATGCAGAGCCAGCGACGCCTCGAGGCCAAGCGCAAGCGCCTCGAGCGCCGGAACTCGGGCAGGCCAGTTCTGGCGGCTGGTGGTGGCGCCGCCGCCCGCGACAAAGGCCTTGAGCACACCGTGCCCAGCGGCTTCCAGCTCCACCGTACGGTCGCCGCCTTGACGACCGCGGGTTCGCCAACGCCAAGCCGGCCGCAGCAAGGTGATAATCTTCACTGTTTTATTGCGCTTATCCATTCCATCCATCTCCTTGTGTTGGTTGCTGGTAGCTTGTTCTTGACGGTGCATGAACAGATTTTGCTGGGTTGGGTTGGGTTCCGTTAGTTAGGAGATTCAGGGGCAGAGCGATCTAGGTGCATCAGGTTTCATCAACACAAGGATCTTTAGCTGTGGGTTACTGGGTTTGTAGTTTCGGTTGTTGCATATTCTGACGACGACATGTTCACTCATGTTCATGATGAATTTCCTCTGTTTAGAAGTAGCCATTTTTTTACTGATTTTGGATTTGCGACACCGACACGCATAGGCCTGATCTTGGCATCGGTGGAATTTTCCTTGCCATGTCCTAGTCGTCTTGTTCTATCGGTCTGGGAAAATTGTTGGAAACGTCGGCTTGTGCAGTCGCAATGCCGAACTATCTTTGACAGAGATGCGTGCGTGATGAGTGGAGACATGAGGTCCTGCTTGCTTGAGTAGTTGTAGTACTAGTGTTTGCTTCGATTGCTGTCAGTTTCAGGATTCTTTGATGTGCACGCACAGCACCATCGTAGTTTACAGTGCATGATGCTTACACCAGGGCTGTGCATATAGTACAATGATAAGCAGGAGAGTCATTAGGTAGCATGCATTGTCCATCGGCAAAAGGTTCAGATCAGTGCGATGGAACTTCACATTTGTTAATATTGATGAAACATTAACAGATGCATGTCAGAGTTTTCCTCATCAGTGCTTAATGCAGTCACTGGAATCTGAAAGAGGCTTTTACATGTATGTCATTAAAAAAGTTTGTAATTACACACAAGCCATTAAAAAAATTGACCGCACACGAGTGCCATCGTTCTGAACTTCTTTGCTTTTCAAGCCATTCCGTCGGTGTTCTGTTCGTTTTTCACCGTTTAGGAGTCCGGACAAATGGGTCCGGACAGTCAAAACGTCCATAATACCCCTCTCATTCCTATCCTCTCTCCCTCAAACTCTCTCTCCATCCGCGTCTCCTACATCCGCGTCTCCCCACCTTTGGCGGCAAATCGCACAAAACCAAAAATTCGGCCGAAGCGAGCCAACTGATTCGAACAAACGAGCGCCGAGAAAACAGGAGGAGACAAGCAGAAGCAGAGGAGCGCCATGGCAACAGCAGCGGTCATCATCGTGGCGGTGGACGCGTCGGCCTTGCGGTGGTGTCGCTTCGCCGCCGGCGGCCTCGGCGCGCTCTTGCGGTCAAGTCCGCGCCCGAGCACTGGCGCGCTGGCGCATCTGTCGCGCGCTCGGTCCACGCGTCGTCCCTGCTCGGCGCGCGCGCGCGCGCGCGACGGGTCACCAACACTCCTCGAGTTCGCTGCCGGGGGCTTCGCTTCGCGGGCGTAGCCCGTCGCTTGGACACCGAAGACGCTGCAGCACGGCCGCGAAGTCGCCGCGAAGTGAAGCGAGCGCGAAGACGGCCTCGAAGCGCGTCGCCGCGCCTGGCGGCTGCGCGCGCGCGCTGCAGACCAATTTGTCGCCGTGAAGTAGACGCGAAGACGCACCCGACGCCGCGCCGTCACGTCAGCATCTCATCACGCCATGGCGGCGCGCCGCGGTGCAAGTCGTCGCCGTGAAGTAAGTAGCGCGAAGACGCAGCCGCGCGCGTCTTGCGCAGACATCTACGCCCCCTACGGCGCCACCCACCGCCATACTTTGCTCCTCGTCGTCCGGCATCTCTGTGTGCCACCGCGTACTCAGCGCCAGGCGAGTGCGAAGCGCCTCCCCTCCCGCCGCGCGACCAAGAAGGAGATGGTGGTCTTTGCTGATGGTGGCCGCTCACCTGCCGCTGCCATCCTCAAGGTGATTGCCTCGGCGCCCATTGCTCTCCAGCCACCCCACCCGACCTAGACCTGTCGTCGCGCGGCCGGGGCGCGGGAGCTCGCCCGACATCAGCATGCGTGATGCGAAGCTCGCTCCGGCCGTCACCATCAGGCGCAGGCTGAGCTCGCCTTAGCCAGCGACCCAGCACTGGCGCGAGAAGAGAGAGAGTTTGAGAGAGAGAGAGAGAGAGTTTGAGAGAGAGGATAGGGATGAGAGAGTATTATGGACGTTTTGACTGCCTGGACCCACTCGTCGGGACTTCCAAACGGTGAAAAACGAACAGAACACCGATGGAATGGCTTGGAGAGCGAAGAAGTTGTCTCGAAGAGCAAAGAAGTTCAGAACGATGACACTTGTGTGCGGTTAATTTTTTTAATGGCATGTGTAATTATAACTTTTTTTAATGACACGTGTAAAAGCCTCAATCTGAAACGCGGTGCCTCTGGTGTTGACGCAGGACTGGCGGAACGCCGAGCGGAGGCGAGCAGCCCGGCGGGCGCTCCCACGTCGTCGGACGGCGTGAGCGTCGGGCAGAGCAGCAGCTCCCTTGTCCCGAAGGAGACAACAACCTCCGGAGGAAGGCCGTCGTCGGACAGCAACGCGGCCTGCCACGAGCCGCAGCAGCCGCCGGCGCCGCTGCGCACGCTGCGGTCGCTGACGATGCGGACGGCGAGCACGGGCGACCTCCGGAACACCATGGCGGAGGACATGCCGATGGTGTCGTACAAGGCGGCGGAGAGCTCCAGCGGCGGCGGTGGCCGGAAGACCGACGGGTTCCTGTACAAGTACAGGAAGGGGGAGGAAGTGAGGATCGTGTGCGTCTGCCACGGCAGCTTCCTCACGCCCGCCGAGTTCGTCAAGCACGCCGGCGGCGGCGAGGTGACCAACCCGCTGCGCCACATCGTCGTCAATCCGCAGCAGTCGGTGTTCCTGTAGCTCTACAGGAACACCGACTGCTGTGCCCGCCGAGCGGGCTCAGGCATAATCTGGAAACGTTTGAGAAGCGGAAGCTGTGTGGTGGAGGTAGCAGATGGGCAGACGAAGAAGCTTAAGGGGCGTTTGGTTGCCTGCCACCGCGCGCCATAGCAAAGTTAAGGCTGCCACAGTAAAAAAAACAGCTGTTTGGTTGAGCACTAGTCTAGGCCCGCCATAACTTTTTTAACTGGCTGAAGGATGGAATCTCGTCACAACTGTGGCGGCCGATTTCTCCGCCAGACTTCTGTAGCGACGCCACAACATGCGTGGCTGACAACGGTTGGTAACCAAACAGCCTTTTTGACAGAAACTGGTTGAAGCTTAAACCTTTTTTGGACAGAAACGGGTTGAAGCTTAAAGGCCTGTTCACTTAAAGGCACGTTCGCTCGAACTTATCAGTCGGTTTATCAGTTATCTATAGTGTTTTTTCTCACAACAAAACAGCTTCAGCCGACTTTATATCAAGTCAAACAGGCCCTAAACTTTTTTTTGGCAGGAACATGTTGAAGCTTAAAAACCTTTCGAGGAGCGGACAGTGTTGAGATAGCAGATGAGCAGACGACGAAGAAGCTTAAACCTTTTTTTTTTTGGTTTCTTTTCTGTTTATCGGTACTCATATGATTAGTAGTAGTAGTTAATTATGCTAGCTATTCCTGCGTTCTTCCCGATCGAGTGAAGGACGCAGGGCCGGAGCTGGATACTGCTGTAAGTTAATGAGCAAGCAAATATCCGAAGGGAAATGGATGTTGGTTCCGTTGAGGCGCACACACGACAGACCTGGCCTTCCTCTTGCATTGCAGCCGCTGCGGTTTCGCTCATGGAGTCATCGACTCATCGTCATCGTTTTGCATGACGAGGACTGAAGAGGTGACAGAAATCAAAAGACCACTCGATCTGTCCCTGTGAATTGTGTGCGAAAGGTGCGTGGCAGCCCTCCGTGGTTGCCGTAGGACGACGCGATCATGGAAAGGTTGATCAGGACATCACAAGTGCGGACAGGTGAAGGTGGGCATCACCCAGTCCAGCTCCAGCCGTTGATTCTTGGACACACAGACAAGGCACATCCGGCATCACGGCTCCAGGTCCAGGTCTCCAGCGATGATATTTTGGGGCCGAACCGAACTGACGCCAAGGTCGGACGCGTGGTTCGTCCTCGCGGCCTCGCCCAGTTGCGTTGCGTTACGACTGGGTAGGGTATGGATAAAAAGCCGGCCGCTGGATATTCGATCCCCGAATTCAAATCCACATCCATGATAATTGGTAGGGTATAGGTTTTATAAATTATCTATTTAAGGCCTATTTATTTGAACTTATCAGCTATGATCTATAGTAGAATTTACAGTATTTTTTTTTCATAACAAAAACAGTTTCAGCCGATTTATTAGACGGCTTTAATACCAACCGAACAGACCATTAGATTTGGATGTGGATAAGGGAATACCCGCATTATCACAGGGGTAGAAGTGTAATTTCTCAGCTACGGTATTCAGCTCGTTTGAATGTTAGATGTGCTTTTACTATGGGAGGGAGGGAGTATTCGTTTACCCGCTCTCAGTTTCTCTCCGTCTTCTTCCGCGAAGGGCGCAGTCGCACACGATGGCGGCCTCCATGGCCAGCGACAGCGCGGGCTCTTCCTGACGGCGCGTCTAGCCTCTCCTATCCCAGGCGGTGCGCAGGCTCTGCCCATCCCCAGCGGCGGCGCGGGCCCTCCGCAGCCCCCGCGTCCCTCCCTCGCCCTCCCAGCCACAGGCGAGAGCTCGGCCGCGCGAGCTCCTAGGTCCGGCCGCGCGAGGCCCCATGGCCGGCCGCACGAGGTCCTGCTCCTCCCCTTCAGGCCGCTGCTCCCCCATCCACGCGAGGTCCGGCTCCTCCCCTTCCTCATGCTAGCTGCTGCAGTTTTCTCTGTCACCTCCCTCTTTTATCCATTGGGTATTCATAATCCATCGGGGATTATCAACTTAATTTGGGCATGGGTAATTTTAGGACGCACGGATACGGGCAACATGCGGGTGTGAACATGATGCCCGGTACCCTCCCCAACGGCAGGCTTGTCTGCTGGTGCAGCGCCGCAGCGGTGTTGTGCGACTTGACGCAACGCACGGCGGCCAACCAGATCAGAATATCAGATGTGACTTCGTTGTAATCTCTCCGTCCTAAAATAACTGTTTTCTTATTTTACGAGAAATAACTTTGACTAATTTTAAATAAAAATATATTAATATTTATAATACATAATTGATATTATTAGATAGATCTTTGAATCTATTTTCATAATAAATTTATTTGAAGATACAAATGTTGTATGTATTTTCTACAAATCTAGTCAAACTTACTACATAAAAACCCAAAACGAAAGTTAATATGGAACGGAGGGAGTATGCGAATAAAGATACTATATACTACTCCTACTCCTACAAAGTTGACAAGTGTATAAAAAGGACTATGCATAATATGGATATATGTAGAGTATATATATATGCCCAACCAATATATAAAAGATATACAAGGATATAATCAAGGTATGTTTGCACCTCGAGTCTAACAGATATATGGCCTTTTAGTTTAGGCATTGGTTTTGAGTAGTAAGTTATATAACTCTTGTGGTGCGTTTGCACATTGAGATGGGTATGTAGAGCCTGTTTGGCTGAACACCAAAATTTGTCATGCCAATTTTAAGGCAACCCAAAATATGTGTACACCAATGTTTTAAGCCAATATTTTTGTAAGGCAACCAAGGGTAATACTTGGTTTGCTACCAGTAAAAGAAAAAATGTTGCCTTACCAAAATTTTGGAAGGAATTGCCAATATTTTGGCACCAAACCAATTCATGCCAAATCTTTTGAACTTGTCTATGTTTTGGCTTGGCAAGAAGCCAGTAATAACTGCAGTCAGATGGTCTTTTCTTCAAAAGGAATATGAAACCAGCATGTTCTTCTAATAGAATCAAGGATAAGTATGAACATATATGCACACCACCACAAGCGCAACAAGCGCATTTCACACTCATGCAAACGTCGTTTAGAGAAAAACTTATGGTTAACACCTAATAATTTTGAAAAACAAAAAATACTCTAAGCTTCTAAAACTAGGGGGATCCTAGAGAGATATTGAGACATGAGAAACAAAATAAAATAGAAATCACGAAAATATACTTCAAAACTCTCCTTGATTAAATTTAGCTCTATCAAAATGGGAAAGTATCTACAAAGTTCATAGAACATTCTAATTGATGTCTAACGTGTTTTTGGAAAACTCTGTAGAGCAAAAATATGAGATGCAACTAGCATCAATACTACATACGTTAATGTTGAATGCATTCTTGTCAGTTTCATATTGTGTTTTTATTACATAAAGTTCTTAAAATATGCTGAGATATTTATATAACGTTTTAGGAATTCCATATATTTTTCTTGATATTTTCTTGTTTTTCCTAGTGCTAAATATATATTTTAAAATCTTATAGATATATTTTCATGAATCTAAACATTTTATTTAAGTTTATAGAGTCCCTTTATATCTATAGAATTTTCTTGAAATTTTAATAAGCATGTACTCCCTCCGTTCTCAAATAAATCAATTTCTAGAATCCGTGCAAGTCAAAACTATCACAAGTTTGACAAACTTTATAGGAAAGAGTAACAATATATATGACATAAAATGAGCACATTATGGAAATGTATCTTATGACATATCTAATTATACTAATTTGATATCATAAATCATGATGGATTTTTTGTAGAAATTTGGTCAAAGGTTAAAAAGTTTGACTTAAGACAACTCTAGGAATCTATTTATTCAGGGACAGAGGGAGTAGATATTTTTCATGGTTTATACCTTATTAAGGTGTTTGCAGGATTTCTTAAAAAAGCTAAAAACCACATTGAAAACAACTTCTAACCGGGACATTGAGGTACTCCCTCTATTCTTTTTTACATGTCATGTTAGTTTTGTTGTAAGTCTAATATTACCATTTTTTACTATCGTTTTCAAAAATAGTTATATATTATCGAAGTATTTCTCATAGTAAATCTAAAATATAAATCTCGCGTCACGAACCTATATATTTTTTTTGAAAATGATGATTAAAGATGTAAATATTTAATTTAGGACAAAACTAACATGATATGTGATATGTAAATAAAAATGGAGGAAGTAATTTAAATGATTTTGAGAGTTAAGTGAGGACTAAGGCGATAGCTGAGTGATGCAAGAGGGCTTTTTCCAAATTTAAATGGCCCACGTCACAGGTCACAGCCCATAACTATTTTGACTACTCTCTAGGCCTTGCGACCCTGCCAAAGGTAAGAAAATCCGAACGGACCAATACATTTCTGGTACGATCGTGTTTTTTGCTAGCTGTAAAAAATATCCGTTCTGCAATGGTAATATCTCTTCGAAGAAGCTGTCAAATCTCCAACAAAAACCAGCCTAACAATAAATCACTCAATTCCCGCGTCCCGCTAGAATATTCCTCGAGCCATCTCCTTATATAGGCATATAGCGCTAGCCGCCGCGGCGGTCCAGTCCACCTCCTCGATCCGAAGCCGGCGATCGCAGCGGCGGATATGGCGTCCCTCCGTATGGTGTTGGTGGCAATGGCGGTGAGCGCGGGCGGCGTCGCGTTCCGGCCTCTGGTCGGGGATGGCGGCGCGTGGGAAGACAGGGCGCCGCTGCAGACGTCGCGCCCCTTCAACATCGCCCCGAGGAGACGGCAGAGGCGTACGTGCGCGCCATCGACGAGGGCGCCGACTTCATCGAGGCGGACATCGAGGCCACCAAGGACGGACACCTCGTCTGCTTCCACGACACCACTCTTGATGACACCACCGATGTCGCCGACCACCCGGAGTTCGCCGGCCGCCGGTGCACCCTCGAGGTGCAGTGGGCCAACGTCACCGGATACTTCATCAGTACGTGGACAGTACGCCGCCCGTTGCATGCATTCAGTCGATCGGTAGTT